AAAAAAAAAAAGACTGTACCCTTTTATGTAATGATGTTTACTTTGAATTTATATTAGTTCACACAAACACTCCATCCATGCTTTTGTTCCAGCCCTCCGGTCCAGTTTAAGAACCCATTGTGGCCCTCGAGTCAAAAAGTTTGCCCACCCCTGTTCTAGGCCCTGACACTTTCTTATCATGATGACTGGTTTGTACTTTTCTATCCTTGGGTTCAAAAGCGACTAGTAATTATACAAATCAGAGGGAAATCCCGCAGGGGCAGCAGAGAGTTCAAACAGGGCCTTGGTGCCCTGGCCGGTGGCTCCGTTGGTTGGAGTGTCATCCTGATCACCAGAAGGGGGGATTGGTCCTCTATCCGGGTGCATTCGGGGCAACGGATCTCTCTCTCTCTCTCTCTCTCTCTCTCTCTCTCTCTCCTTCCCTCTCTAAAATCAAAAAACATATCATTGGGTGAGGATAAAACAAACAAAAAAACCCAACCAGGGCTTTGGTGTCAGACAAAAAGGACGCTGGGTGGAGTCCCTACAGGCGCCAAACACAGCTGTCCACCCCACGTGGTCACTCTCCCCCGGGTGACACAGTGATTCCCAGCAGTCAGGAGTGACCTCCCTCTTCTCCAAGGAGTGCCAGGAAGATCGCACAGCCCGGCTGTTCTGCTGATCAGCTTAACTCCATGAGCATCTGCCCTGGGGCCTCAGCCCCATTCCTTGCCAAGCCCCACCAGCCTCATCTGGCCCCACTTCCTCAGAGGCCAGGGTGGAAGCTGGGACCACAGGCAGGACAGGACTCACTGTTTGGTGGGGGAAGCCCTCAGGGAGCCAGGAGCCAGGAGGTCTGTGCTTCATCCTGAGAAGCAGCCTGTGTGGGGCTTCACAGCATGGGTGCTGGGACCCAACCCCACCCTATTACTGACCAGCTGGGTGGCTTTGGGCAAGTTACCAGACCTTCTGTGCTCAGTCTCCTCATCTGTAGGGGTGGCCCTGATAATGGCCAGGGCTGTTGCCAGGACAACTAGGAACAGCCAGGGAAATGGGCCCAGAAGCACCTCAGAACGCTTGGGGCAGCTGCCTCTTTGCCTGGAAGGCTCCCACTGGCCCTGCAGTGAGCCCCCTGTGCCAGCTGTGGGTGAGTGCCCGCTGGGGACACTGCACCTCCAAAGAGGAAGAGGAAGAAATTGTCCTCAGCCTCCAGGCCTGGCCAGGGGCTGAGAGCAAGCTCTGACCCACAGAGGGGTTAATCCATCTAAATTAATTAATTCGTCCAGGTTAGAGGTGAGAGGATGTTGTCCCTTTAGATGAGAGAGATGGCATCTACTTTGTCATAGTCTCTGCCACTCCCTATTGCCCCTACCTGACAATCTCCCTCATACACATCACCTGCCTGGCTCCTATAAGCATTTCAGTTCTGTAGGGAGTTGGCTTAAAGGAGAAGAGAGGACATTCACTACTAGATAAATGTGAAGATTGACTAGGAGCTGGAAGCTATCTCCTAGGTTGATGCAGGTTAAGAGCACATCAGATAAAAGGCATCCTGGAGGTTAGCTTAAAAGTCGTGAAGAAACCAATGTGGAATTTTGCTCAGAGAGACCAAGAGGGACGGGTGTGGTAGAGACACCTACTATGTGCCAGTCTCTTCCCCAGCCCTTTTCTCACTAACTCATTGATCTTACCCAGAAGGTAAGATGTATCCCTATGTTACAGATGAGGAAACTGAGGCAAAAGAGGTGACATAAGCTCCCTGAGGTCACCCAGGAAACGAGCAGCAGAATTAGGCTCCAAACCTGGATGATGCCTGGCTCTAAAACCATGCAAGCCTCACCATAACCATTGTCCTTTCAAGTGGCCCGGGAAGGGCATTTGACAAAACGGGCTCTATGGGGCCGAGGAGGAGTGCAGACACCTCACTAGGGCCTCGGAGGTTGCCAGGGCCTGGGGAGGGACTGGGGAGCAGGAGCAGGAGAGGATACAGAGCATCCAGGGGCTACCTGAGGTGGCTGGGAGGGCAAAGGCGATGGTCACACTGTTCTGTGGCGGGGTGGGCAGAAGGATGCCTTCTTGGCCTTCTCAGGGAGCAGAAGGTTTATCCTTTAGAATAGGCTGGTGGCCTCTTTGGTTCCTTGGGTTTCTGAGTTTTCTATCAGGGTCCTGGGTCCTTTGCTAAGAGCCCCTCTCACTACCCTGGTTCCTTCCCCTCTCGGGGTCATGTTCGTGCTACTTCCTCCTATTGAAAGCTGCTACTTCCTCCTAAGAGAGGCCAGCTCTGGGTTACATCATTTCAGAGCCCGGCGGTCTTCTTATCAATCTCAGAATGTCTGTGTGACTCCCCAGATTCAGGTCTACTTCTTCATCGGCGTGGAAGATCCATGAGACTAGGAATCCATATGCCCAATTCACAGCTGCATCCAGCCCCTGGGACATTGCCCGACACACCACGCCGGCCACTAGCAAGTGCCGGAGGGATTGGACTGAAGGAGCAGGACCCTAACTGCCTTCTTCTCCCTGCAGGTCGTCCCCTTCTCTGGGACCATCCAGGGGGGCCTCCAGGACGGACTTCAGATCACTGTCAATGGGACTGCTCTTCACGCCTGTGGAACGAGGTACCTGGAACTGTTGTTTCCCCCAGCCTTGCCCCTTAGCAAACCATGGCGCCTGTCAGCTCAGGGGCTCACCCAACACTGTCCAAGCTGCCTGTGCCTGGCTCAGGGGACACGAAGGAGTAGGGGCCCGGTCCCTGCCAACACTGCATAGTACCCCTGCCCTCTGCCAATAGCATCTGCACACCATTAACATAGATTCCCCATAGACACAGGGAGAGCAGGAACTCACAGTCTTGGGCCAGCCCAGGGGCAGATCATTATGGTCTAGGATTGAACTTTGCACGCAAAGACCCAGAGATGCAAAAATAACGCCTCCTTTACTTCCCAGAACGGCCTTCCTTTACTCCGTGGCCCCTATTTGGCTGATGTGGAAATATTTAAACTTGGCATCAGATGTAATTTGATCTGTTTCTGTTTCAAGTTCATTCCTAGAAAATACTAAGGCAATTCAAAATGCGAACATCTCCTGGGCACTGTCTCCCACCCAAGAGGGGACTTTGGGGCACAGGGAAAACTTTCACATCTTCTCAGAGGCCGAGCGCCCTCCAAGGCTCGCGCAGCCCTGGCTGCCCTTGCTGAGGTCCAGGTGGTGTGGAGGTGAGGGGCTCTTGCCTGATTTGGGTGGGG